AAATTCTATCTTGTTTTTCAGGATGTAGTTTTTCTCCTCCCAAAGTTGGGAAAGTCATTTTATCAAAATGACAATCTGCAAAACGTGCAGTAAATAAGTCACCCGTTAAAGGTTCAAGATATCTAATAATAGATGGTGAATCAAAACCCACATAAATCTCAAGTTTTCGTTGGGGACCCATTTTAGTACGTTGTGGGGGTGAAATAGGAACTTGGACAGCACAACCAAAAACTCGTAGGTGAGAAATATCAAGTTCATGATCAAATGCAAGTTACAAAGGTGAATATTGATGATAGGCAGTTGGTCTTATACGAACCAATGATGCAGCATGTAATATGACATGACCCCAAACAGAAGTTGAGAGTTTTGTTTTCATAAGTAATGGTCTAACAATAAGTTGTACACGTTTAATAAACGATTTCGCTAAACCATTTTGTATATGAACATGTGCAACTGAATGTTCTATTTCAATCCCAATTGACATACAATAATTATCAAATGCTTGTGATCTAAATTCACCGGCATTGTCAAGATGAATAGTCTTGATTGAGTAATCGGGAAATTGTGCTCGCAATTTTATGATTTGAGCAAGTAGTCTAGCAAATGCTACATTTCTAGTTGAAAGTAGGCAAACATATGACCATCTTGTAGAAAAATCAATTAATACCATAAAGTAACGAAATGATCCACATGGTGGGTGTATTGGTCCACATATATCTCCATGTATTCTTTTCAAGGAAGTTGGAGATTCAATACTGACCTTTGTAGTTGAAGGTTTAATGACTAACTTGTCTTGCGAACAAGCTACACATGGATAATCATTAGATAAAAGAATCTTCTGGTTCTTTAAAGGATGTCCATGTAAATTGTTTATTATTCGACGCATCATTATGGCTCCTGGATGTCCAAGTCGATCATGCCAAAATATAAAACTTTTTGAATCAACGAACTTCTGGTTCGTAACATTATTTGATTCGACCATTTTTATAAATGTAAAATACATGCCAGACGGGAGTGCATGAAATTTTTCTTTTATCTGCTTCTTGCCAGATACAAAAGAAGTGGGAAAGATATTCAATATTATTTTCTTGTATCATCTCAATGTGATATTCATTGCAGCGAATATCTTTAAAACTAAGCAAATTTCTTCTGAATTTGCTAGAATAAAGTGCATTGTCAATATATAATTTTGTATTATTTGGTAAAATAATACAAACTCTTCTGGAGCCTTCAACGATATTCGACACACCTGATATCGTAGTAACATTATTTTCAGCTAATATTAAGTCCAAAAAGTATTTTTTGTCTTGAAGAATAGTATGTGTAGCTGTCTTGACTATCCATCATGAATCTATAAATATAACAAAATAAACCAAATTTAAAAAAAAAAAACTTGAATTTAGATTTAAAGAAGTAAGCATTACTTAATATCATGAAATAAACGGTGCATAATAGAGTTTTATTTTATATTTTTTTATTTTTGTGCGGAAAAGTAAAAACATATTTCAGATTGAATTTTTAAAACGAAAAAAATACTAGTAAATTAATCTATATCTTCTATCACACCACGCCCAACCAAATGGTCAATATTTCCATTTGGATCAGTAAAGAAATCGGAGACATCCAAATGAGTCACATCAATCGGACCATCATAATCAGCAAAATTAGTCTCCAATTTTTCTTTTCTCTTGATTGATCTCTGGTAGAGATCCACAAGATGTTTTGAGGTACGGCACGTACGTGCCCAATGCCCTTTCATTCCACATTTGAAGCAACTTTCTTCATGCTCCTTTTTAGATTTGCCACTCTCGTTTGCTTTGTACTTTTTGAATTTATTGCCTTGTTGTTGATAACTTTGTTGATTATTTTTTCCATGATTTATTCCACGTACACGTACACGTCCGTGTCCGCGTCCACGTCCATGTCCTTGTCTTGATATTGTATTTGCTTCAAACAATGTAGTATCATTTGCTTCAGGCAATGGTACAGAACCAGTTTGACGTAATCCATGATATTTCATCAATAATTCATTATTTTGTTCAGCAACTGTAGGCAAGATATAAGTTCTGAATACTTTTTGAATCCACGCTCACGATATTGCTGCTGCAGGAGCACATTCGAGGCATGAAAGGTGGAGAAAGTTTTTTCCAGCATATCTTCATCGGTGATTTTTTTCTCCACACAAAGTCAACTTTGAACATATTCTGAACAATTCAGAATTGTACTCACTAACCGTTTTAAAATCTTGCAAACAAAGGTGCATCCACTCATAACGGATTTTGGGGAGGACTATAATCCTCTGATGATCAAATCTTTCAGTTAACTTTTTC